AGCGGGCACCCGCCGGATCAGGAACTGACAGGCTGCCCGGGCCCGCAGACGTCTGCTCTGCAAGCTCCTCGCGCTCTGCAAACTTCGCGGGCGGGGAAGGAGAAAGGCGTTCCTGAGCTCCCACCCAGGCGGTCGGAGCTAGGGCCGGGACCGTCTGACGTGCCCACAGCCAGACCAGAAATCAGAGCATTCTCCTCTCCAGCTACTCAATGCCTCAGACCAAAGTCAGAAACGCCAGCTCCCTACCTAAGGAGTTGAGACGGTACAGGAAACTGCCCCTGTCTGAACTTTTCGTCAAAGACGTTGCGATTTCCCAGACAGGTATTGATCTGAAAACTCTCCAGCAAATGAGCACCTATGATCTCTGCGGCGCGCGGCACTGCAGCCTCATACTGAGCCTGGGACACAAGGAGCTCTCCGAATTAGGAGTGGTGGATCGCACACATTTCAAAGACTACCAATAGTGCAAGACATGGTTTGCCAAGCCGGAAAGGTACCTTGGAGGAAGTCCTTTGGATGCCCAACCTGTGAGATGTTTGAGATGAGTGATTTACTAGAGCTGACACCCTGGCTGGCTTCAGGACAGGATACTCCCTCCCTCAGGACTGAGACTCTGTTCAGTGTGTAGTACCTAAAGAAAAAAAATTGTATATGAAATGCAGTTGATGAATTTTTTTCAAAGCAGGAGGGCAGAAAATCATGAGGAAAAACAGTAATAAAAGTGTGTGTGCGTGTGTTTTAATGGCAGAATGATTGGGTTCTGAAAGGTGTTTTCATGTCAGGGTTTGTCCCAAAGAAAGTAGAACTGGAGCTCTGAAGGATGAACAGGAAAAGAGGCAGGGTACGAGAGCACCATTCAGCAAAGATACAGACATGGATGAAAAAGCGCAGTTGGAAGGTGGTGCAGTCTGATTGTGTAATTCATATGTTGAAATCTGAGCCCCGATGTGATGGTTTTAGGAGACAGAGCCTTTGGAATGTGAGAGGTCATGAGGATGGAGCCTTCATGAAGAGCGTTAGTGCCCTTATAAAAGAGGCCTGGCAAAGCTGTTGGTCCCTTCCACCCTGTCCATGAATCAGCCAAAGGGCCCTCTCCAGGGTCTGCTTGGGCCTGGATCCTGGATTTCCCAGCCGCAGGATTATGAGAAATATTTTTTGCTGTTTATAAGCTACCCAGGTTATGATATTTTGTTATAGCATTGCAAAGGGACTAAGAAAAAAGAGAACTGACTATATATTTATTAATTATTGGAATAGGTAGAAGAAAGTGTATCTGTTTAACCTTCTATTTGTTTTTTGAAAATGAAGAGAGGAAAAGGAATGTGTGTGCATAATACCAAAAAGAGAAGCCATACATAAAATTTTTAAAAAATTAAAAAGCACCATAATGAAACAAAAATGGAAACTACATGGGAGAGAAGAAAATGCATACCACAAATGACATAGGATTGAATGGCTTTAATGTACAGACCTTTTACAAAACAAATAGAAAAAAGTTAACACTCAGGCTAAGCGACCTAATGAGCAATTCACAGAGAAAGACATTTTAAAAGCTAATAAGGCCAACCAGTGTGGGATAAGCAGGAGGGCACTTCTGCACTGCAACAGGAGGGCACTGCTTTACTGTGGCTGGGGCTACATGTGTGAAAAGGATTCAATCCTGGCCCCAGCTAAATAGGCCGAGTGAGTCAGCCTGTGGTCCTAGCTGATAGGATTCTGGGGCAGGTGGATTAAGAGGTGGAAAGGTCCTCTCAAAAATACCTTTCTTGAGCCAGTCACGGTAGCGCAGTATAACACAACACTCCAGAGTACTGAGGCCATATAGATAGGTCCCAAATTCACGTCCTGAGGTCTCTCTGTACATACACTCTCTGGGTGCACATATGTGTGCCTATGATCCCGGCTGGCTAGGGCTGGGGGTGGATACAACATGAAAATCCTTTTGGGAATCTCTCTCTCCTCTCTCTCTCTCTCTCACTCTCTCTCTCTCTCTCTCAATGCAGCCATTAACACAAATAATTAAATCATAAACAAAGGAATTGAACATGTATTTCTTCAAAGAATATGTAAAACCTGTCAATAAGTACATGGAAAGATGTTTCACTTCGCTAGTCATCAGAGAGATACAAATCAAAACCACAATAAGATACCTCTTCCACTCACCAGGATGACTATAACCAAAAAGAAAGATAATAACCAGCATTGAAGAGGATGTGGTGGGAATATGAAATGGTGCAGACACTTAAGAAAACACTTTGGCAATTCTTCAGAAAGTTAAAGATGTAGTTACCATGTGACCCAGAAATTTCTATTCTAAATTTTTACTCAAGAGAATTGAAAACATACATCCATACAAAAATGTGTACATGAATGGTCAAAGCATCATTATTTCTAATAGCCAAAAAGTGAAAATCACCTTACATTTACCAACTGGTAAATGAATAAACAAAATGTGGAGTATCCATACAATGGGATAACAGTCACCCATAAAAAGGAATGAACTTCTGATGCATGCTAACAGCATAGATGAATCTTGAAAACATTATGCTAGGTGAAAAAATCCACATACAAAAGGCCACACATTATATGTATAGGGGGTGAATACTAACAGGTTCAACATTTCTTCTTGGAATAATGAAACTCTTCTAGAATTAGATGGTGGTAATGGTTGTACAACTCTAAATACATTAAAAACCACTATTATGTAATTTAAGAACTTAGTGGAATAAAAATCATATCTTAATAAAGCTGCTATTTAAAAATTGTATAGAACTGAAATATATTCTACAGATAAAAACTGTAGGAGTGTGTATGTATGTGTAAAAGTAGACCTAAAAACATTTTGAAAACAATACAATAGTATGTTCAAGAGTGGAAAGATGAGCTAGGGAGACGGTTTTTTGTTTTGTTTTGTTTTGTTTTGTTTTTGTTTGTCTGTGTTTTTGAATTTTTATAGTAATGAACTTAAACTGCTTTTGTCCTCATAAGAACTTTTCAAATATTCTAGTAAATCAACCATATGAATTCCCAGCACTATGTGGAATAGTTCTGCCTGAGGACCACCTGAGTTGTTGAAAAAAAATTGAGAAAAAGTAAGAAAGAAGTCCAGCCTCAATGACGCAGTTGGTAGCATGCGAAACTGCAGTGCTGGAAGCCTCACGGCTGACCTCGGGTTTGGATCCCGGCCTGGTTGATCTGCAACATATCAGGTGCGTGAGCACATGCTCAAGCTCCTGATGAGCTGGAGGTCTGGAGAAGGACGATCACAGTGTGACCAGACCTTATCAAGGGTGCTTTCTCTCTCTCTTTCTCTCTCTCCTGTGAACGAATAAAATAAACAAAACTTTAATATATATGATTTTATATATATATGATAAAAATAAGAGAGATACATCTTACATGCATACTTAGGTCTTTCCAGACCCAAAATTATTTAAAGGAAAGCAATCAACCAATGGTTGAGATTCCAAAATTACTTTGCTAATATGTAACGGTAAAAGCAAAGTCTACATTTAAGAAGCTGCCCTCTATCCAGGCCAGTAACTCCTCCTCACTGCCAGGTCATGTCACTGAGACATTCTGATAATACCAACCAGAACCTCAACAGCAGAGCTGTTGTTGTAGATTCAGATCTAGCCTTCCTTTTCATAGCACTTTGCATTTTTCTATAAAAAGCAACATTTAGCAGCATGGCATTACAAATGTATTATATTGTAGAATGATAATATTTCTTCTTAATGTTTGTTATTATATTTCCTCATTGGAGGATTTGTGGTATCTTGACCTTACCTTGTCATAGCAGTTTAAAAATAACTTCGTGATGTCAAAATACACAGTGTGTTTGTCTGCTGAGAACAGCATTCAAGATGGCCAAATAAAAGTTAAGCATTGAAAGTTAATTATTTGCTACAGTTATCTCTCTGAAGATTAGGTATCCAAAATAAACATCCAGGGCGAACCTACCCTCCACAGGCTTGGATACTGGAGATAAAAAGTTGAATTAATGAGAATAATGATACATTTGTGGTAGGGAGGAGGAGGAAAAATGTTGTTCTGATGCTTAAATGAATGGATGTGTGGGCAAGTGCTTTCAAACACTAATGAGCAAATTTAAGGCACACTTGTGTTTTTAAGGCAAGATGAGGCTGTTATGTTTTAATACAGAAGGACGATGCTGAAAGGAATTAAATTAGTTGCCCATGTTCTAAGAAAAACAGGACTAATAAGCTAGACACAAGATTTCTGAACTCTGAAATGACAGAAGGAAAAAGCCTCCAGTGGGGAGAGGGTGCAACAGTGGTATGAAGGCTATAGAGAAACATCCCCAGCACAACAGAAGCTACTAGTACTTAGCCCTAGAAGAGTGGGTGAGACAGATATGCATAGTTGGGTGTAAATAAACCCAAACTAACACAAGCGAACGTGGGGTTTGGCTGGATTCTCAATACTTCAGAAGTGATTCATGCATAGCTATGTCCTTCAGATCTCAAGATGGAAATGCAACTTGTCATGCCATTGTTGAAGAGGATTTCCCTAGAGTCACACTCAATAATGTCCCTTTAG